TCCTATCCAAAAACCCAGGAATCAAAGCTAACTTTATTATATACCATTTTGTAGCTTTTATTGAATGCTACATTTTGCTTTTTGAATTTTTTAAAAATCTTAATTTTGAAAAAAGTTACGCCTCTTTGAAACCAACCTTCTTTAAATTATGTTTTTCAAAAACTCCTGGTAACGAACATAAATAAATTGTATACCATTTTGAAGCTCTAAAAATTTCCTATTTTTAACATTTCGAATTTTGTTAAAAATCTCAAGTTTGAAGCAAGTTACACCTCTTTGAATTGTATAGCATTTTTAAGCTCTAAAAATTTTCTTTTTCTAACATTTTCAGTTTTTTAAAAATCTTTAATTCCAGTCAAATTAAAGACCATATTCTAAACTTTAATCCTAAAGACCACTCCTTGTTTTATACATTACGTCGTCTTCCCTTTTTTTTATGTGCACAAATCGGGTCAAGTGGTTTTGAGAAGGTGTGTCCTGTTCTTTTTTTTGTCGGGTCTCCCTTTTTCTCAGGTACTGTAGTTCTTTTTTTTTGACTAAGACGGAAGACTCAAGGACCCATTTAGATACATAATGGAGTGTGTTTTCTAGGGGAAATGCCGCCCGTTTACGAGATTAACACTATTTTGGAGGGTTTTCAAGTACCTCCAAAAAATGCCTGTTTAGATCCCCTAGAAACGGAAATTATCACCCCATTTTAGGCTAAAAAGATGCCTCCATTTTTCTTGTCAAAAACTATCTTATCTGACGGATAATTAGCCTATAATTACTACCGTATGCGTGATGAATAGTTTGTTTTGGCGGTATTATCTATGTGCAGCTGCCTCTACAACAGTGATTAGAATCTATTCGATCTGTTTGAAACTTATAGAATAGATTGAATGAACCTAGAGCTTTGTTTTTGTAGTGGTAACGTTTTTAATAGCTATCCGGGTTTTTGAGATATGCGCCTTTAAAGGTTGCAAGTCATTTTAAGCGCGCGCCGACTTTAAAGGCGCAGGCTCCACCGCAAGTAAACCGGTGTTTTATTGAAAACTTGCTGAGTACACTAACCAAACCTAGAGCTTTATTTTAGCAGTTGACAACTTTTTTGTAGCTCTTTCGGTTTTTGTGATATGCTTCTTTAAAATAGGTGCGCGCAGGCACACCTGGCTAACTGACTATCTTTAAAGGCGCATATCTCAAAAACCCAAAGAGCTATGAAAAAGTTGTCAACTACTAAAATGAAGCTCTAGTTTTGTTTAAGCTACCAAACTAAACTCCAAAAAGATTGAAAAAGTTCTAGCACCTAAAAATCCGCTTCTTTTCTAGATCCGAGATAGGTTACCAGAAGCTCAGAGCACCAGGAGGATTTGACCTACCCCCGGGTAGAATTATATGTGTATCCATTAACACATTGTGTGCACATATACACAATGGGGACCTTACACACAAAACAACTGTGTTTTTATTCTCGCACCTTTCCTCCTCTCTTTGATTTTTTGCCGCCCCATGTGGCCTAGAAACCCCCAGGACCACTGGTTTTCTGACACATTTTTGTTTGCTCTTCATATAAAAGATACCGTATATCCTTAAGCAAATTTGAATTTTTTAGATTTCCCTCTGTTATGCACTTTTTTACTAAAAAGTATTTTTCGGGTACTTTTTTGGGACCCACTCCAGTGGAATGTGATGCAACAGAATCAAATATTCCATTAGAGGGCTACGCTTCACTTCATTTTTAGATGTCTCTTATTTTTTGGCAACTTTTTTATGCGGAAAATGTAATTTCTCGGATTTTGGTCCCTTTACACTTATCCCTTGCGTTTCCACACTTCCGGAGAGTAATTGTATGCAAATTAATCTCCTCATCTTCTCAAGTGAAAAAATGAATTTCTGGGATGAGCCTCCAACCTTATGCTCCATTAAACCCATCTGGACACATACACTCGTCATCGAGAGAGCAAAAAAATCACTTTATGCAAATTTTCTAGGCCTTATACTGCTCTGCCCTGTATTACTAACACAATAGGGGAAATTACGCAATTTGCTATACCTATAAAAATTTTCTGGCCTGTACGGTCATATGTAGGTCGTAAAAATGCGCGCAACGTCTGCTCGCGGACGGACCAACAGACCCCAGATAATTGGCAAAGTACCCCTTCTATCTTCTACCCCCACTTAGCCAATTATACCTGTCAGTTTTAGCGAGTGCACTGTCAGGTGTGTTTCTTTTTTTTTTCTCTAAATCTCTCTTTTTCTCGTTAAAGTCTGAGTTTTTACGGCTTGAAAATGAGTGATCGGCGTCGGTAGTTTCGGCTGATAACACCATAATTTTCGATGTTGTTCTTTTTTCGCATTTTCAGCACTTTTTAGTACGAAAAATCGCAGTTTTTCAATGAAAATCGATAAAATAGGATAACAAGAATTTTTCTCGTCGAAAGAGCGCATGCGCCTTTGAACAACTACAGTAATTTTTTAAAGTTTTTCTTGATTTTCGCTGGTTTTTCTCAATATTTTTTATAGTTTCTGGATTTTTTATTTTGGATTTTGAGGCATTCTGAATTTTTCGATGTGAAAAAAAAAACTTGTCAATATCTGCCAAAATCGCTAAAAACAATAATTAAAACTTCAGCAGAAGAGAACATGCGCCTTTAAAAATCTACAGTAACCCAAAAATTCGAATTTGATAGTTTTTTCTCCTTTTTCGGGCGCTTTTGACTAATCTTCTCTAAATATCCGATAGAATTACAGTTTCCCAATTTTAGTCATATTTTTGCACCAAAATCTTTCCCGAAATTACAGCGCAATGTCCGCTTTTTTAGTTTTACAAAACTTATTTCGCAAAAAAGGCTATGCGCCTTTAAATATCTACAGTACCACCGCTATTCGATTTTTGCCTGATTTTTCGCTGATTTTCACCGTTTTTCTCAGATTTTCACCGATTTTCCATCGAAAAATTTCGGTTTCTTCGCAGTATTTTTGACGCTAATCGTGTCGAACAACAACCCATCTGTTTCCGTTCCCTGTCGTTTTCATACCAATGAAAATGTGTCGACGAACGGAACAAATAGCTCGCTCGTTCTCTCTCAAAAGTGATGGATAATAATTCGAATAGTAAAAGAAGAGGGGGGATTTCATCTGACATCCACACTTCCGATAATCGCTTCTTCTTCTCTCCGTTTTCTTGTCATCATCATCATCGACATCAACGACATCTTGTCGGTCCTTCATCATCAAAACGACTACTTCCGACAAGTAGTCGGACCACAAGTAGCCAAACCCGGGGCCTTTCGGGGCGTGTGCTAATTCGCATTGTCTTGTTAATCACGCATTGATAACAATCGACCCCGGGGTGTTGGTGTGGGTCCAAGTGTTTACATGTGTCCGTGTTTCCGGTCTATTTGAATAACGGTGTTAGGCAATCCTTTGAAGGTGTCCAGATAGGCTGATAGAGCTAGTTTTTTTTTCTAGTTTTTTAAAAACACTTTTTGAGCACTTTTACGCTATTTTTGCTCATTAAAGGAACATTGCACAGTACCGGCCAATAAGATAAGCAAAAACGTATTTTTCAGTTGGTTTTTGACCATTTTCAAGTTTCCGATCACTTTGAAAATTTCGGAGGGTGTAAAACAGAACTAGATTGAAAACTGTGCAATTTTAGAATTTTTTGAAAATTCCTTTTTTCGATTTCCGGAAGACACTTTTTAAACAAGTTTTTAGTACAACCGAGGGTGTCTTCCGGAAATCGGAATTTTCAAAAAATTCTGTGAATTCACCCTCCAAAATGTTCAAAGTGATCGGAAACTTGACAGCCGAAGCTCTTGAAAATGGCTGAGAATCAACTGAAAAATGCGTTTTTGTATATCTTATCAAGCCCCAAATATGTCAAGGTTTTTTTCTCATTAGAGCAAGATTGCATATTCTATCTTTGATGGCTTTCAACTCCCTTCAAACTCAACATTTTTGAGCGAATTCTATGCCAAAATTTAGAGCTCGACGAGCTCTACAAAGTGGCATAAAACATGAATACCGTAAAACCTCTCCGGCCCTTCTAATACAGGTTTTAAGGTAGTTCTGATTTCCGCCGTTCTCGAGCAGCTAGCTATTTTGATCTACCCCTGATGATCCCTAAACCTATTCTCCTCCCGTCCTTATAAGCTCCGCCCACCCCAGGGTGGTCCACCATTCTCTCTGTGTCTCTCTCCCTCTCTCTCCCTCCCGGGTGTAAGTATCTCCAGACACCCTGGCGGGAGAGGAACACCACCACCACCTGATCCCATTTCTTCTATTCTGATGTTTATGGTTCTGCGAATCTGTCAGCAATTTTCTGGAAGATTCTGAAGACGTCTTCGAAGAAAAAAATCTCGAAAAGTTCGAAAAAATGTTTTCGAATTTTTTTGCCAAAATCTTCTCCTAAAACATTATTAAACCCGGTTTTCGTATTATACCACGATAGCTGTTCTTTTCTCTATCTAAACAGATTATGCATGCCTTCCTTACCTTCCTTCCGTACACTTTTCTCCAAAGATTCCAGAATTTTCAGTTTTTTTGGTTGAAAAATTGGATTTTTCGCGATTTTTTGACCTAAAAATCGCTTTTGAAACTTTTGATCTACCACAAAAATTTTTGCAAAAATTGCAAAAAAAAATGTTTTTTCGCAATTTTTTTTGCATTTCAGATCGTTTTTTAAAGCCAAAAATCAAATTTCTCACAATTTCCACCCCAAATTCGCAATTTTCAGCTTTTGATCTCTGAAATTTTCGCGCGAAATTCGAATTTTTTCAGATTTTTGCACTTTTTCTCTCTGAATTTTCCCAATTTCCTCAAACTTTTGATTCGTCTTTTTCACCTGCTTTTTATATATTTCCGGATTATCCGGAAATTTGCAAATTTTCGATTTTCTCTAAATTTAGAAAATTTCCAGAAATCACATGAAAACGACGGAGACGACAACAGATCATCTATTATCATTTTAGTTATCAATACAATTGATTTTGAAAGCCTTTTTTCTTCAAAAAATGCGAAGAAAACCCATATTTTTGTTGCTATTATTTCTATTAGTATTATCGATCAATGCGACGGATCAGCCGCCGGACGAGTGTCCCAAATTGTGAGTTTTAAGTTGGAAAATGTGAAATTTGGACCCTAGAAATGGTTATTTCGAGCCTAAAATTGAGGATTTTGAAGCTCAAAAGTGTCAAATTTTTGGTTTCAAAATTGGTAATTTTCGACCTAAAAACATAAATTCCCTAAAAAACTCCCTAAAAACGTTAATTTTAACCCTGAAAATGTGAAATTTGGCTTTAAAAATAGCTATTTTTGGCTTAAAAATGTCAATTTTAACCCTAAAAATATAGATTTTGGACTCTAAAACAATACATTTATTACATTTTGCACCCTGAAAATGTGAAATTTGCCTCTAAAATTGATAATTTTGAGCTCAAAAATAGATATTTTTGGCTTGAAATGTGAAATTTGGACCATAAAAATGTAAAATTTGGCTAAAAAATGGCCATTTTAGGCTGAAAAATATCAATTTTAGCCCAAAAACATAAATTTTAACTCAAAAAATGTCGATTTTTACCCTGAAATTGAGTAATTTGACTCTAAAAATGGCTATTTTTATGATAAAAATCGGGTTATTTTAAGCCAAAAATAACCTATGTTGGCTTCGAAAATACCGATTTTTAACCTGAAAATCTCAATTTTTGAGGCGCAAATTGCTAATTTTTCGATATTTTTCCTCCTCAAATTTTGCCTAGAAAGTTTTAAAAAAACCTGAAATTCTCCATTTTTTGCAGTTGTAAATGTGCACCGGACCCTGTCCAGCCAACGGCCAAACTCCTCCTATGTGACTATTCGACGAACGGTACAGTAGTTCCGTTAGCCGATGCTAATTATAATAATCAAATTTCTAATATTCGGTGAGTCCTTGGTTGAAAAATAGGCTAAAAAATGAGCCAAAATTAGCCGATTTTGACCGAAAAATATCGATTTTTCGATCAAAAGTCGCCCAAAATATTTTCGAAAAATCGGCGAAAAATCTGCCAAAATTGGCAGATTTTGACCGAAAAAAATGGCTAAAAAATCGATAATTTGTTTTGTAGATCACTATTTATCACATGCGATCAGCGCCAATTCCGATTCCCGGATGCCTATTTCAAGTCGTTGACGGCGTTACACCATCTGCGGATAGTGGTAAGCGTTTTATTGCATTCAGCTGGCGCCTGAAAATTGGGGAAAATTGTCAAAATCGCCCAAGTTTCAAAGTTTCTAAGGTCAAAAATCGTGTAGATCAAGATTTTTCAGATTAGAAAAGTGGAAAAATGGGTGAAATAATGCCAAAAACCAATTTTCGCCCAAACATCTGTCCATAAGTGGGCAGATGGTATTGTCGTACATAAAATATTACGACTAGTAGACTACTACTAGTAGTAGTGGTACGACTTGATTAGTAACGGAAATGAAATGTTTAGGAAGGGTTTTAAGGAAGAAAAGACCCGGAAAATGACAGTTATGCGCCTTTGAAAATCGATTTTTCCAGCTCAAAATGGGGGAATTGAACCCCTAAAAATCAATTTTCCAGCTAAAAATGTCTTAATTATCGTATTAATTAGCTCAAATTGCTTGAAAATTGAACGTTTAGGGGGGAAAGTCCCGGAAAATGACAGTTTTGCGCCTTCTAAAGTCGATTGTTCCAGCTTAAAATGCGCCCTAATTATGGGTTAATTAGCACTAATTCTTTGAAAATCGAAAGTTTAAAAAGAAGTTTGAGGGGAAAAGTCTCGGAAAATGGCAGTTATGCGTCTTTAAAGTCGATTTTTCCAGCTTGAAATGCGCTAATTATGGGTTAATTAGCTAGCAAACCGTATAACTCAAGCCACGAAATTCCCAGCCATCGTCGGTTTTGTATCCAAAACCCCGGTGCTTGACCTAGTCCTTGAGCCCCTATTCAATTCTCTCTTGGGGGGTACAAATGACAAAAATGACGCAACGCCTCCTAATTAGAGACATCCGAGAGGGCCCTTTCCTCTTTAGAATTGTTACGTCAGTGAACACCTTTAGAAGGGGTCAAAAGAGAAAATGAGCCGGATAATGAGAAGTAAATTGAGCGAACACATGCGCAATATGGGGGTTTTTCTTGGGGTGAAAAATGCCGAAAAAACGTTAAAAATCGGTTAAGAAATTCTCCTAAAACCGCCAAAAATCGGTGAAAAATACCCATAAAATCGCCGGAAAACGCCGAAAATTGATGTTAGAATCGTCTAGCATAGCCTAAAGCGATCGCGAGCTCAATGTTGCAGTCTTCTGTCCTTTACAGCTACGCAGTTAGCTAGCTGGAATCGCTAGCTACTTCTCACCGGGGTACTCTAGAAAATAAAGAATAGGCCACTTTATAACACATCTGGTCCGCACCCTCAAGAGTATTGAATATTACATGGCTAATCGGCTTAACCTCTCCTTTTCTGTGTCCTCTCTCTGCTCCACTTGAATACGCGCCTAACACATGTTCATAGTATGAAAAATACGAGATTTCGACCAGAAATAAGGGATTTCGACCTGAAAACAGCCCGAAAATGGCCGGTTTGGGGCAAAATACGGGACCCAATAACCCCAAAAAATAGCGTTTTTTCCAAGGAAAAACGAGCAAAAATAAGGGATTTTCGATCCCAAAAAATGAAATGAAATTTTTCCAGGGCTGCCATATGACGCACTTCTCTGTGAAGCTCTTCGAAGATCTATCCTCCTTACGAACCCTGGAACTGGATCAGATGTCGCCGCCAAGCACCGGCGCATTCGAAATGACAGAAGACGCACTGATGCCATTAGCACGACTCGAGAAGTTCTCGTTGACACGATCATTTAATGTGGAGCTCCCTCAACGGTTACTGTGCTCGTTGCCGCATTTGCAGGTAAGCAGAACATTGGAAATTTGATCTACCGTAACCTAGCAGAATCTGAGCAATTTAGCGCTATTTTCGTTCGGAGAAGCTTCTGGCGTTTTCGAAGGTTCTAGACCTCCTGAAGCGTTATTTTTGGTCCGCTTTTCTAAAGTAGCGTCTAGACGTCGCCTAGAAAAATCTGACCATTTTTGCCCTAGACCTCCCGGACCCTAATTTTTGATTCCCCCTTTAAGGGGGGGGGGGGCGTCTTGGTGATAATAAGGCTGAGATGGAATTAGTTGTTTATTAGTTTCGAAAGAAGGCTTTAAAGCTTACGTTCTTACTCCGTCGCCTTCAATAGATGACGTTCAGCCATCTGGTGGAGCGCGGCAATTGAAAATGAGAACAAAAGGAATGGACTTTTGAAGGAAGGGGGGTATAACACAGGAGAAAGAAGAGGTCAAATATCAGCGAACGGAAGTTGTTTGGGACTTGTCTCAGGGCTAATGATCATTTTGGGGGGGGGGGGGGGTTTGAAATCTGGGACCTAGGTGTTGAACCCTAGATTCTGAGAGCCGGGGAAAATTGGAACGTCCTGGAAGCGTTCAGGGGATCTAGAAGTCTTCAGCCAGGAGATCAGGAGGTCTAGGAGGCATCCAGATGTCTGTAAGATTGTCAGCAATCTGATATTCAAGCTGGAGACGTCAAGCTCTCCAGAAACTCGAAAGTTGGGTTTCAAGACCCTTTTCAGGTCCGGGTACTTCTGAAATAGCTAGGTTACTGTAGCCTAGTGGTCCTCACGTTTTCCGGATTTTCGAAGCTTATTCTTGATAGGACGATCTCTTTGGAACCTTGGAACCTTGGAACCTAGCCCTTTCGATCCTGAAACCGTGAATACTAGGAATCTAAGATCCTTGGAATCCTGGACACACAGACAGACGTATTCCTTGAACCTTGGAAACATTTGATCTTCAGATCCTAAGATCCCCAGGTTTAGGAATCTTTGGATCCTTAGAATCCTCGGTACCATAGCTTTATACCCATCCTTTTTGGGCTCTTTGCCACTTGTTCTCCCCATAATTTCCCGCAAAGTCATTATTGCTCATCATAATAATGTGAACTCTTGACAACGAACATTTTTGTTGTCAAGCAGAGCAAGTTTATGAGCCCAGTCTATGTGTAGTTGTGTTGTCGTTCCTCTCTTCTTATGATGATTGATGGGAAGAACACGCGGACATGTATACATACAATGAGGGATGGAAATGTATCCGCGAGACACGAGACAAGACGATTTTAGCATATGAATAGGAGAGAGGAGATTTTGATGATGGGTCCAGGGAGAGAGGGGAACAACTTTACCTTGAAAAACGTTTTGGATCCTTGGAAGGATGTTTTGGACTATTTGGAGATGTTCCGAGGGCTTGGAAAGCATCTAGATGAATCCAGGAGCTTCCAAAAGCGTCTAGAAGCATCTAGAAGGATCTGAGAGCATCTAGAGGGATCTAGAAGCATCTAGTAGCATCTAGAAGAATCCAGAAGCATCTAGAAGGATTCAAGAGCATCTGGAGGCGTTTAGACGCTTCTAGACGTGTTTGAGAGCATCTTGAAGGATCTGAAAGCACCCAGAAGGATCCAGGAGCATGTATCAGTATCTAAATGGATCTGAAGGCATATGAAAGAATCTAGAAGCCTCTAGTGCTATCTGGAAGTAGCTTAATCGCTGGAATCCTGTCAGAATCGGTCTAGGACGATTTTATGCACTATTAGCGTTTCGATCCTTAGCCCAAGGTCTTGGAACCGCTCGCGACCTTTTCAACTTGTTGTTTGATCTTCCTTAGCTAATCCAAGCTAGCTCACTCAGCTAGATTGACGTTTCGGACCATATTCCAAAGGACCGCCAGTCTCTAGAGGCTCTACCGCAACACGCCGACACTCATTACGGCTAAATGATGCGTGATATTATTGGAGTGGCTACACAGCATCAGGCAGTTGCCGTGCCACACAATACACCGTTAATTAGGATGAATAGGAAGCAGGAGTCAACAATATAAAAATAGATCAAAACCCCTGTTGGGGAGGATTGTTTTGATAGGGTGGCACTCATTCTGGATGGGTATAGAGGGATGGAACCTTGGAATCTTGGAATCTAAGATCCTAGGGATCCTGGAACCTAGACCGTTAGATCCTGGACCGTTGGAACTTCGGATCCTCAGATCTTTGGGTCTTTGGCACCTTGAAACCTTGGAACCTTGAGACCTTGGAACCTGGGAAACTTGGAATCCTGGAACCTACTCCTTTAGATCCTCGACCTCTGGAACCTGGTAACCTAGGTACCTTGGAACCTTGGAACCTTGGAACCTAGCCCTATAGAACCTGGAACCTTGGAATCTAGAAATCCAAGATCCTCGGATTCCTAGACACACAGACAGACAAATTCCTTATCTCGGCTCTCAATCTAGTGCTCAATCTAGCACTCATCTCTCAATATGTTCCCAAATAATTCATCTCTTCTTCAATGAATTACTCCCAAATTTCAATGAATAGAAATTGCATGCCTCCTCCAGTTGTAAACAGTTAACTCATCCATTTTGCCTCTCTTCCGAAGAGTCTCCTCTTCCGAAGAGGGATGACGTTGAAGGAATTAATAACCGAACAGAGAAACATAGAGACACAGCTCATTAGCTGCTCTTCTCAGTGACTACTAATTAGCATAGAGAGACGGCACTAGGACACACTCCTTTTGAAAAGGACACCGGCCGCCCGTGTTCCAAAAAGGATTCGATACAAACAACGGACAATATCCGATTGATGTTGTTTCTCTCTTTTGAAGTGACAAGAGGGTAAATGGGTGTCATTCTAATGAAGAGTCAAAAAAGAAGAAGGTGTAGCTGAGGGCGTCAGGGCATAGGAGGGATGGGATCCGGAAGCTAGGAACCTTGGAACCTTAGAATCTAGAATCTTGGGTCCTCAGATCTTTGGAACGTTGGAACCTTGAAGCCAAAAAATCCACATGATCGTGTGTCTGAGACCCTAAGCAAGGTTCCTAGAGCCTTGGAGATCTTAAACGTTTTGAAAATTTTTGAATTCCCGCCAAATCGAATTTCCAGGTCCTCAACCTATCTACAAATGGGCTTCCAACCCTACGACGCGAGGAGACTTGTGTGGCCCAGCAATTGCTCATCGTCGACGTCTCCAGGAATCAGTTGACGAGTATTGAGTGAGTTTTTGATGAATTTAGGTTTTCTAGGCCAATTTCAGCCAATTTTTGACGATTCTGAAACAACTATTCGACCATTTTTAGCTAATTTTTTGAAGCGATTTTCAGCCAATTTTAAATTCCACCCCTTTTCCAGACAATTCCTGCGCGGCGTTCCAGCGATTCGACAAATCTCGCTGGCTCACAACTCGATTGCTCAGCTCGACGCCTCGACAGCCACCCCGTTCCTTCAGCAGTTGGACGCTGAAAACAACCGAATCCAGGAGTCGATCTCCCTTCCGGATACTGTAGTCCACGTGAATTTGGCTGGAAATTTGCTGCGAAAGATTCCAGACGCCGTGTCGACGTTGCCGAGTCTTGTAGCGTTGAATGTGTCAAGAAATGAGATTGAAAGTGGCAATTCGTCGGTGCTAGGTGAGTTTTTTGCTTTAATTGGGGGGAGGGGGTGGGTCTAATTAATTAACTATACTAACTATCTTTTCAGCCTCATCTGAGCTGGAAATGCTCGACGCATCGTATAACAATTTGGACCAGCTTCCCACAGAGTGGCTTCAAAACTGCGACAAGCGGATTGCTCATCTTCATCTGGAGCATAATCGGATACAGGAGATTCCAGGAGGTGTTCTGTCGAATGCCACAAATTTGCAGACGGTAAGAGCGACTTTCTGTGCTTTTTGGCTTTGTACATACTTCCTTGAACTCCTTGATCCTTTAAAATCGTAAGATCGGTAGAATCATAATTGCCTTGTTCCTTTAAAACTGTCAGAATCGTCTAAGATCCTTAGATCTCTGGCTCTTTAGATTCTTGGAATCTAGACAACTAGGATCCTTGTAATCCTAAGCTCCGGACACACAGACAGACGCATAAGAGCCGTGATCCTTTAAAACCATCAGAATCGCCTATACGGTCTTCCCATTCATGATCATCGCGTGTCAGGATCTTCTCCTTAGTCTCAATTTGTGATTTTTGGTCTTGATGAATCTTTAAGATGGTCAGAACCGTCCAGGATCCTTGAAATCTTAGAATCGAGTCTTGGAACTTGACGCTTTCAGATCCTCAGATCAGATCAGATGGAATCTAACATCCTCAGTTCCAGGAGTCTACGATCCCTCTAATCTTAAGCTCCCGGACACATAGACAGACCCATGAGAGCCTTCAGAATCGTCTTCGATCGCGTGTCAGTAGACAAACATGTATATAGTTCATTGACCTTCTTCTTGAGTATCACACTTTTCTATTCATGATACACTCCAGGGGTGTCATAATGGAGTACTGTACTTGATAGGGTTCATTATCTTCTCTTGGTGGCCAAACGAACACCCATAGAACTTACTAGACTAAACACAGGTGTCATCGTTTTTGGAAAGTTTTGTTAATAACGGGGTTGTCATGGACCATAAGTGACCACCATCTCAAGAAGTATTATATGGTATAAGTGTCCCCCCTCATCGCGCTCATTTAGACACAATAGTTTGACACCCCCCATATACCCATCCAGGAGAATAACACAGGTTGTATAATTGTAGGGTTCCTTTTGAATAGAGGGGGGAGAATTTTCTTATTGTTGCTGTCACACCAAGATTGGGGATTGAGAATGATAGATGCGCGAAGAATAGAAGGTGTCATATGGATAGAGAGATGGGTGTCAGGAGAGGAGTACTGTAGGATGAGTCGGGATCTTGGAATTCAGGGATTGAAGGATTTATCAGCTAGCTCAAACTAGCTCTAATTGGTGGAGAGAGGTCTGGAGTACTGTAGGAGGTCTTGGAGTACTGTAGGAGGTTCTCGGAGCACTGTAAAAAAAGTCTGGGAGAACTGTAGGAGGTCTTGGTGTACTGTAGGGAAGTCTGAGGGTATTGTAGGATCTGGTAGTATTGTAGGAGAGTATAGGAGTGCTGTTGGACCTGGAAGTACTGTAGGAGAGTCTGGGGTGCTGTAGGATCTGGAGGGACTGTAGAAGGGTCGGGAGTACTGTAGGAGGACTGGGTGTACTGTAGGAGGTCTAGGAGTACTGTAGGATCTGAGGTTGCTGTAGAAGGTCTGGGAGTGCTGTAGCACAAGTCAGGATCATCGGGAAATGGTGATCCTTAACCTCTTCTGGAACCACTAGGATAATGGCACTATCCCAAATTTCTTGCTAATTAGATTGGATACTCAAGTACCCCCCCCCCACCCCACTCCATGGAAATTGTTTCATTTCGATTTGAGCACTCTTGTACCCCTCACTAATCGGTATTATTCTTCCCCGGTCCCATGAAGACGAAAACAATCGCGCGAAGCAGCTCCAAATGATTTCTCTCACTGCACCTGTCTGAGCAATTTGACGCCAATTTCGTCTTCGATGCTCTTCCCCCGAGGGGATTAGACTGTCTTAAGGATGGGGGACGCGAAAAAGAGCCTGTCCGGCTGTCAAGAAGGCAGATAGATTCAATTACCAGGACGCCCGTGGTCCAGGAGAACATGATTGGAGCTTCTCGACTGTAAGGAAACCGGGGACCTGATGGTTTGTGCTTCAGGGATCCTTGGACCTTGTTAGCTATAGGCTGGCCTAGCTGTCGATCCCATTCTAGTAGCTAGGCTGTCTAGCCGAGCCGCTCTTGCTACAGTACCCTAGCTAGACTGATTCTCAGCTAGCTCATCGGAATCGGATGGTCCGAGAGACCTGTAACGTTCAGTAGGAAGCAATGCTTCCCAAACAAGGGATCCTTGAGGTTCAGACTTCCAAGGTCCTTGATAGGAAGTTTGACTATCTAGCTATGTCTAGTATCGACTACCCTTACGTATTGGTTCGTCTAAGCTAGCTAGACGGTCTAGCCGACTCGATCTTACTGTAGTACCATAGCTAGAGTAGCTACTCTGGTCTAAAACGGGCTCTAGTCAGATCATATCGCAATTCAGACGCATTCTTGAGCACTATTGTTACTTGCTAAGACGCAAGAAGTCATTAGCCAATTAGCTAGCTGTAATAGTGTGTTCTGGAGTTACGTCACTCGACACGCCTGTCTGCTTGCTTGACTTGAGTGTCTAATCCAATTAGACAGGGACCCTAGTAACATGTCTGATGTCTATCCACAGGTATTATTGACTTCTAATCCAACCAGTGTGTTTGCCAAAAACACTTGTTGCGGGAGAAAGTGTGTGCACTCTCATGTCCCCACTCAGTTTTGACACCATTGACCCTGTGGTATTTGCATATCTCATTTTGGATTGGATACGTGGACAAGGGTCTTCGTGAATAGGGGCATGGAACGAGGGATTGGATAGGGGCAATGGTTTCAAAGCATGAAATCTTGGAATTTCGGGTCCACAAATCCTAACAGAATTTAGTCTCATTTTGTAGAGAAGTTCAATCCCACCATTTCAAAATTTGATTCGTTCGAAAACGTTGAGCTTGAAGCTAGCTACAGAGGTCTTGGCATATAGATAGCTAGCTAATCTAGTTGTTCATATGGCAAAACGTCTGTAGCTAGTTTCAAGCTCAACATTTTTTAACGAATCAAATCTTGAAATGTAGGGATTGAAATGCTCTACAAAATGATACCGAATTCAACTAGCTTTGAAAAATGTTACTCCAATTTGGCATCATTTTATAGAGCCCTTCAATCTCTATATTTTAAAATATTCCTTGTTTGAAAATGTTAAGATTGAAGCTAGCTACAGACGTCCTGGCATATAGACAGACATATTAGCTAGCTATCTATATCTCAAAACGTGTGTAGCTGGCTTCAAACTTAACATGTTTTATCTAATCAAAGTTTGAAATGTAGGGATTGAAGAGCTCTACGATATGGTACCGAATTCGACTAGATTTGAAATACAATTCAGCGGAAAATCACTGAATCAATTTCGAAATTGATGAATTTCAAAGCTTGTCAAGTTTGGTATCATTTTGTAGAGCTCGACAAGCTCTACATTTTCGTACTTGACTCGGTAGAGAATACGGGATTTGAAGCCAGCTACACACCTTGCTTCTCAAAAAATTAATTTTCCAGCTCGACATCTCCTCGAACCGTCTCCGCGTCTTTGCCGACTCCATACTCCCGGAAAACTCGAAAATTGGAAATTTGCGACTCTCGAACAATTCACTAGAAGTACTGGAACCCAAATCTCTGGAAGGACTGAAACTGGAGCATTTGGATTTGTCTCATAACAAGCTTAGCGAAATCCCATCGGCCATTGCAAAAGTTGAGCAATTGAAGAAGCTGGACCTGAGCAATAATCAAATTAGCAAACTATATCAATATGTGCTCAACAAGATTAAGCAGCTGCATACGGTGGATTTGTCCAATAATCAGTTGCAAAGTGTGAGTATTTTTTTGGAGCTGTAATTCTAGGAAAATAGCTTAAATATTGAAAATTTTTGAATTTTTTTTCTCGATTTTTGTTGCTCAAAATCATTCAAATTTTACGATTTCAGGTTCAAAATGATCCATTTTTCAAACTGTTTCTCTTTTCCAGATTGGTCCATACATCTTCTCGGACAGCTCCGAACTGCACTCGCTGGACGTGTCCAACAATGAGATTTCGCTTCTGTTCAAAGACGCATTCGCGAGATGTCCGAAGCTTCGGAAGATTACGATGAGGAATAATCGGATTAGTGAGTTTTGGAAATTTGCAGAAAAAAGTCAAAATTTCAGCCTAAAATTGTGATTTTGGACTCGAAAATGATCGGTTTTAGGCCCAAAATTAGGATTTTTGAGCTTAAAAATGCCCATGTTGGTCCTGGAATTTTACTGAAAACGATAAATTTGAACGTAGAATCGTCTGAAATTGGCTGAAAATAACTTTGAAAAAAGTTTCAAAAATACAAATTTTGAATTATGAAAAGCCTAGTTTTTTATCCTATTTTTAAGCCTTAATATGGGGTTTCAGACCCAAAATTCTTTGATTTTCAGCCCTAAGAATTGGATTTTATGCATAACTTAACTTGAAAGTTCAAAGAAAACGACTTAAAAATGCTCGAAGTTGGCTGAAAATTACTCTAAAAATTCAGAGTTTTTGGTCATTAAAATCCTAGTTTTTGACCTATTTTTAAGCCTAAAAATTGGATTTTTCACCCTCAAAAAACCCATTTTTCTGACCTAGAAATCTTTTGAAATTCTTAAAATTTCCTGAAAATTTTGAATTTGATCCTTAGAAACTAAAAATCGAAACTTCCAGACATTTTCAGCTCTAAAATCCTTGTTTTTCGCTCCAAAAATGATAGATTTTGACCCGAAATGAAATTTCCAGAATCCCTCGACGAAGGACTGAGCGAAGCGAGCGGTCTCCGCCGTCTCGACGTCTCCAACAACCTCATCGTCGTGCTCAAATGGTCGGCGCTCCCCGAAAATTTGGAAATCCTTCTGGCCGACAACAACGACATCAACCTCCTAACAGCGTCGACGTCATCGAAGCTCTCACTGAAGACAGTGTCGCTGGCCACGAATCGGATTACTGTAATGAACGCTGAGCAAATTCCGAATTCCCTGGAATCCTTTGATGTCTCCTTCAATCGAATCGCCCGTCTTGGAAAAGGAGCGTTTGGAGAGAAATCGCAGTTGAGGAAATTGAATTTAAAGGGAAATCAGTTGACAGTGGTGCCAACGGAATCCATCAGAATTCTAGAAGGCGTGCATCCGGTGAAGCTAGAAATCAGTCAGAATCCTCTAATTTGTGACTGTCAGATGACGTGGCTTTTGAGCTCTGGAAAGACGTCGAGAATCCAAATTCTGGACGATGCTCAATGCCATCATGCCATTGACCAACATCCGATACCACTGAAGAGCCTTCAAAAGAAGGATCTCCTGTGCCCTTATCAATCGATTTGTGAGCCGGAATGCATCTGTTGCCAGTATGGAAACTGCGATTGCAAATCTGTTTGCCCGGCGTCGTGTCGTTGCTTTAGAGATGAGCAATTCAATATTAATATTGTTAGATGTGCAGGCAGCAACACTACAGTACCCAAAAGGGAATTCGTGGTTTCCGAACTGCCGGTCTCTGCGACGGAAATCATTCTATCCGGCGTCACGCTTCCTCAGCTCCGCACCCACAGCTTCATCGGACGTCTCCGCCTCCAACGACTTCATATCAATGGAACGGGACTTCGGAATATTCAGACGAAGGCGTTCCATACGTTGCCGAGCTTGAAGACGTTGGACCTGTCGGATAACGCGCTGCTCAGCTTGACGGGAGATGAGTTTTTAAAGTGTCCCGAGTTGCAGCAGTTGTTCTTGAATGGGAATCGATTTTCGAGGTGAGCAATGTTAATTTTGGATTTGAATAGTTTGAATTTAGGTCCTAAAATGTCAATTTTGGGTCCTAAAATGTCTCAATTTCAGGCCTAAAATATGAATTTTGGGCCTAAAAATGCCAGAATTTCAGGCCAGAAAGCGAGATTTTCGAGCGGAAATTGTCCAAAATTGACTGAAAACTACTCTGAAAATACAGGTTATTCGACCAAAAAATCCTCGTTTTTGCCCATTTTCAAGCATTTTGGACCCCTAAAATGTGAATTTTGAGTATAAACATGCCTATTTCAAATAAGAAAGTCCTAATTTATAAAAATTTGCCTTTTTCAGCCTGACACGTGGAATATTCGAAAAGCTTCCGAACCTGAAGCACCTCACTCTGCACAACAACTCGTTTGAAGATGTCCCTCGAGTGATATCGTCTCTCTCCAAAATCTCGCTCTCCGGAAACCCGCTGAGATGTGATTGCTCGGCGAAAGATGAGCAATATCGTCATAGCGCTGGCTCCGCGCACCAACAACCGTTTTGGGAGCACAACGCGGCGGAATGGTTTGCGCAGCATCGCGAGCTGGTCGTCGATTTTCAGGCAGTCGAGTGTTGGGAAAATGTGACGAAGGCTTTTCTGACGAACGATACGACGGTCCTGTCGGCGTATCCGCCCAACGTGGGACCCGATGTTTTTGTGATGCGGATGGAGGGTTAGTTTGGACAATTTTGAAAGAAAAATGGGCTTAAAACTGCTGAGAATTAACATTTTTCAAGCTGAAAATCTGGCTTTTAAGTCAACTAAAAATAGTGAGATTTTGAAAAAAAAATCTAGAAAATTGAGCGAATTCTGCATGTATTAAGCCTGAAAATTGGCTTTTTTGAAGCGGAAAATCATACTTTTTAGTCCCAAAATTGGCAATTTTAATATCGAAAATCAGGATTTTAGACTCTAAAATATGCATTTTCGACTCCATTTTTTTTCCATTTTCGCAGCTCAAAATGTAGGGTTTTAAGCCTAAAATTGGGATATAGTCAGTCCAAATTCCAGGATTTTCGCTCTCGAATTTCAGGTTTTTAGCTTCAAAAATATCATTTTTAGGTCCAAAAATCATGATTTTAGACTTTAAAATTGTCATTTTTGAGCTCAAATTTTCCATTTTTCTGTCCGAATTCCATGATTTTTGCTCCTGAATTTCAGATTTTTAGCTTCAAAATTTGCAATTTTTAGGTCCAAAAATCATAGTTTCAGACTCTAAAAAATGCATTTTTGACTCCATTTTTTCTATTTTCGCGGCTCGAAATTCAGGATTTTTGCTCCTGAATTTCAGATTTTTAGCTTCGAAATTGTCAGTTTTGGGTCCAAAAATCTGTATTTTCCGGCTCTAGAATTGCAATTTTCGCCCCAAAAATTTTACATTTTCAACTTCAGAATCTCAATTTTTGCAGAATTCCTCCGCGACTACAACACAACGATCTGCGTCCCATTCTCATCTGGATTCTTTGGACAAGACCCCCAGAATAGCATCATTTTCGTGATCGTCTCCGTTTCGATCGCCGTTTTATTGTGTATTTTGGTGGTGTTGGCAGTTTCGTTCGTTCGAAAATCACACGACGCCATCAATCAGAGGAGATACAAGGCATCGAGTCTGAATTGCTCGACGTCCGCCGGATCGTCACCTCTTCCGATTCCATTGCTCAGCTATCATGCGTTTGTGTCGTACTCGAAGAAGGATGAAAAGGTGAGAATCTTGAAAATTTCCGAAATAGAAAAATCTAAAAATCTAAAAGTCCGATTTTTAGAATCTCAAAATTATAGAATTTTGCGATTCTGAAAACTTCGAGATCCTCGAAACCAATGATATTGAGAATCTGGAAATTCCAGAATTTCAAAAACCCGAAAATCAAGAAAAACCAAAAATCTGGGATTCTAGAAACCTGGGAATCTAGAAAAACAGGAATCGAGCAATATAGGAAACTGAAAATTTCAAAAATCTAAAAATCTAGGAATCTGGAAATTGTAAAATTTCTGAAATTGAAGAATCCAGGAATCTGAATTTTTCCTAGAATCTGAGAAACTGCAAATCTGGAAACCTCAAATTCTAGAAATCTGATTTTTACGAATCCAGAAGTTCTAGAAAACTGAAAATTTTAAGAATCTAAGAATCTAGAAATTGTAGAATTTCTGAAATCATGAATTCTTGAAATCTAGAAATTCTAGAAATCTGAAATTCCCAAAAACCTGAAAATCTAGAATTCTGAAAACGTAAGAATCTGGAAAATAAGGAATCGAGGAATCTGAGAATTTCAGAATTTCGAGAATCTAGGAGTCAGAAAATCTGAAAATTCAGAATTTTGAATATATGGAATTCTGAAAGTCTAGATGCTAAGAATCCCATGAATCTAGAATTCCTGAAAAACTGAAAATCTGAAAACCTGGAAATCCAGTAAATTGAGAATCCGAATCTTAAGAAATATGAACGTTTGAGAATCTAAGAGTTCTTGAAGTCCTAGGATCTCAAAATTTTTAGAGTCTGAATTTCAGATTTTTAGAAAAAAAACTGAAATTTAGAAATCTGGAAATCTGGAAAATTCAGATTTTTTGGAAGTTCTAAAAATCTGTAAAATCTTTAGTTTTCACCAAATTCTTTTTTTTTCTCAAAGTTTTTTAAATTCAATTTTTTGCAGATGGTCGTTGATCAACTATGTCGTCCTTTGGAAGACGAAGACTATCAACTATGCTTGTTACATCGGGACGGACCAACATACAATTCGAATCTACACGCGATTTCGGACGAGCTGATTGCTCAGATGGACTCATCGCAATGCTTGATCTTGGTTCTAACCAAACACTTTTTGGAAAACGAATGGAAAACACTGCAGATTAAGGTGAGAGAGCAATTTTGGCTTAAAATAGGCTGAAAATCATAGAAAAATCTGTTTTGGAAATGTTCAAATACCCAAAAACTTCTAAAAAACCATTTGGACCTCGAAGGAATCGAACTTTTGGGTCATCTGCTCCAAAGTCAAACCTCTTACCCACTGCGCCATCGTCGCGC